CGGCCACGCCGGAATTATTTATGTTCCGACCACCGCGGGGTGAGGGAGGGGTGGGGGCGTGGCCATGGCGGGGGTGATGAGATTCCCTGTGCGGGCGTCACGGCATTTCGTTACGAGGATCGCCACGACCTCCCACCCCCCACCCCCCGCCACCACCACCGGGGCCGACGTCGCAGTGCTGTTGAAAGCAGACTGCTGAAAGAGTTGAGCTGTCAGAGGACATCGTGAGGGGAAAGGCGGGGGTCGACTCCGCGGCATATGCCATCCTGTCAGAGAGGTCGCGTATCGGGCGGTGGAAAAACCACGGCCAGGCCGAGTATAGACGAGGAGTTAGACCGCTTCTCTGGACAAAGTAAAAGCGCGTTGACGGAACGGGGTGGTGGGGGGGCGGAGAAGGTGGAACTCGGGTAGGGGGCGGTCGTGCGGGCCGGGGGCGGTGTTGGTGTTGCGACCGCGAGCGCTGTTGTAAAACTTTTAAAAACATCCGGCCGACATTGTATGGGGCTCCGGAGGAGCGGAGAGGGGGAGGGGACACCAGCGCTCCGTCCGGCTTGTCCGGCCCGCCCTGGGCTGGACCCGACTCGGCCTCTATAGTGCCCAGTTCGGCACCCTCTGCAGCACCGGCGGTGCAGCTGTCGCCAATAAACACGGCACTGCATTCTTTCTTCGAGATAAAACGTCAAATGGGGAGACCTTGGTCCTGATTTCTATCGAGTACGAGGAAGGCGTGGCCACGACGGCCGGTCGGACGGCGAGGGTGAAGGTGGTGGTGGTGGTGCGACGTGCGACGGGGCGATGGAGGGCGTGCAGGCGGTGCAGGACCCGATGGAGGCCGTGGAGGGAGCTCTATCGACCTGGCCCTGCCCAGCGCCCTCGCCAGGGTCAGCAGTAGACCACACCGGAGTCCCATGACCACCGAGAGTGGACTGGACTGCACCACCCTCCTAGGGGGTCGTGGTCGGGTGGGGTGAGAGGCTATTAATTTTTTCCCTTGAGTAAAGTTTCATTACGTCTGTTTGCTGAGGCCACGTCCGCTCCTTTATAACGGACAATAACCACTTCCTCGACTCAGTTCTTTTTTTAATTTATTCCTTCGCACTTCATGGTTTTATTTCTCACGTTGGCAATGGTTGGCGGGTGAGAGGTGACAGTTAAAACTCTGCCCCAACCACTCGCCTGATTCCCCGCAATAAAATTTATATCTCGCTCATAAAAACAAAATGGACAGGTTGCCGTATCACAGCCCAAAACATCATTACAACTGAAATGTGTCTTCCTATTTCCCAGGGCGTTTTTGTTTTTCCTTCCCATTCCCCTTTATTTGTACCCTTCTGGCCCTGAAGGACCCCACCACCCC